TAGTCGTATTGAGGTCGTAACGCTAACGATTAAAGCCGTCTGCGCTTTGCCCTACCCCTCTAGGGATATATGAATTTTGTAACTAATGAATTCATTGTTTATAATTTTCAGCCAACAATTCTCCTCTGAACTTAGTACGTCGCGTACTAAACACCTACATAGAAGAAGATGTATGGTATTTACCATTGGCAGTGGGAAATCAAGAAGCGCCCCTTACTAGTAACGATACCTTGGATGTTAATGTGTATAACCCCCGGGCGTGGTTTAAGGATAGTGTACCAGGTATGTTGATAAGGCTTTAGTGGCCAAGATAGACTCGCACTGTTTCGCAGGCTAAGATTGAGCCGCCGTCGCCCACTTGGTAAAGGCGTCGGCAGTACAGATGCCGAAAATCGCATGTTTAAAATCTGCCAGCGGTGAAAAATATTGCAAGTTTTCCAAAAATATGTCAATAAGATTATATACCAATCTTATTGGGTTATTCATGAGAACTGTATGAAAAAACCACAATATGTAGTACTCTTGAATGGATAGAAGATGTATGGTATTTACCATTGGCAGTGGGGAGTCAAGAAGCGCCTCTTACTAGTAGTGATACCTTGGATGTCAATGTGTATAACCCCCGGGCATGGTTTAAGGATAGTGTACCAGGTATGTTGATATAACTTGCGCAGGTAAAGAATGGATCCCGCATAGGCAATATTGTTGTTTGCCTCTCTTTCACGTGTATTTATGAGCAAAATGTCAACAATAATATTGTCAATTCGGGTCCATCTTTATCTGCGCAAGCTGTAAAATTAGAGATCAATCTCTTCTGGTTATTCATAAGAACTGTATGGAAAAACCACTGTATGTAGAACTCTTAAATGGATAGAAGAAGATGTATGGTATTTACCATTGGCAGTGGGGAATCAGGAAGCGCCCCTTACAAGTAGTGATACCTTGGATGTCAATGTGTATAACCCTAGAGCATGGATTAAGGATAGTGTACCAGGTATGTTAGTAACTCTTTATGGGGGTCAAACTATACTGGTTAGTCTTATTTTATTTATCAAAAACCACTATAAGTTGCTCTCTGGATTAGCTGTGATAGTATAGAAGATGTATGGTATTTACCGTTGGCAGTGGGGAGTCAAGATGCGCCTCTTACTAGTAACGATACCTTGGATGTCAATGTGTATAACCCTAGGGCGTGGTTTAAGGATAGTGTACCAGGTATGTAAGTAACTCTTTATGGGGTCAAACTATACTGGTTATACTTAGTTTATTTATGGAAAACCACTATAAGCGGATCTCTGGATTAGCTGTGATAATACAGAAGATGTATGGTATTTACCATTGGCAGTGGGAAATCAAGAAGCGCCCCTTACAAGCAACGATACTTTGGATGTCAATGTGTATAACCCCCGGGCATGGTTTAAAGATAGTGTACCAGGTATGTGGATAACTCCTTATAAGAGTCAGATTATACTGGTTATTCTTAGTTTATGTATGAAAAACCACTATAAGCGGATCTCTGGATTAGCTGTGATAGTACCGAAGATGTATGGTATTTACCATTGGCAGTGGGGAATCAAGAAGCGCCTCTTACTAGTAGTGATACCTTGGATGTCAATGTGTATAACCCTAGAGCGTGGTTTAAGGATAGTGTACCAGGTATGTAAGTAACTCTTTATGGGGTCAAACTATACTGGTTATACTTAGTTTATTTATGGAAAACCACTATAAGCGGATCTCTGGATTAGCTGTGATAATACAGAAGATGTATGGTATTTACCATTGGCAGTAGGAAATCAAGAAGCGCCCCTTACAAGCAACGATACTTTGGATGTCAATGTGTATAACCCCCGGGCGTGGTTTAAAGATAGTGTACCAGGTATGTGGATAACTCCTTATAGGATTCAGATAATACTGGTTATTCTTAGTTTATTTATGGAAAACCACTATAAGCGGATCTCTGGATTAGCTGTGATAGTACAGAAGATGTATGGTATTTACCATTGGCAGTGGGGAGTCAAGAAGCGCTTCTAAATAGTAACAATACCTTGGATGTCAATGTGTATAACCCTAGAGCATGGTTTAAGGATAGTGTACCAGGTAAATACATTTTTTGGGAAAATACACTTCTATAAATTTTGTTTCAATTTTTCATGAAACAGCTGATTCAAAGATGGTCCCATAACATAGTTAAGAATATGTTGTCTCAAAGAATCGTAGACACACAGACATACAGACGCGTGAAACTTATAACATCCCTCCGGTTGGTTCGTCGGGGGTTAAAATCAAAGTCATCGAAGTTCTTGTCAAACATTTTACCATGTTCTGTGGCTCAAAACATAAAAGTTTAATTTATCCAGTCTGCTATTGATAGTCATATACAGTATGCCTCATCTCATAAAACTTGTCGTATCATTTATTTTTTTAACTTTTTATTTACATAACTTCGAATAAATCAATAAATTTGCCATTCTATTGGGATGTTTTAATGCACGCACAGTGCTTTAGTATTATTCTTGAAAAATTCAGTAGCGACCGCCGGGACTTGAACCCGGGACCGTGGGGTACCGTCCCACCGCTCTGCCAAATGAGCTACTAACCTGGCGGACCCTGGTTTTTATTTTCTGATTTTCAACTTGTCATTATTTTATTCCAGGTTTATACGAAGGTGCAGTAGAGACCCGCTACACCGACATCACATACCTCGCGCCGCGCGCCGCGCCTCATAGAGATCCCAACACTTGTGCCACTTTGGCTGAGGCACAGAAAAACATGGTTCTGTCATGCTTATTGACAGAAGGAGTTGGGATAATGGCTGCAAGACTGAAAGAAGAATACCAACCGTTTTTGTTGAAGACGCTTTGCCTAATATTGGAAAGAGTAGGTCAGTATCTACACTTCTTATTCAAGTACATTCGAATTCTGGTGCCACTTTAGCTGAGGCACAGAAAAACATGGTTCTGTCATGCTTATTGACAGAAGGAGTGGGGATAATGGCTGCAAGACTGAAAGAAGAATATCAACCGTTTTTGTTGAAGACTCTTTGCCTAATATTGGAAAGAGTTGGTAAGTATCTACAGTTCTTATTCTAGAACATTTGAAATCTGGTGCCACTTTAGCTGAGGCACAGAAAAACATGGTTCTATCATGTTTACTGACAGAAGGAGTGGGGATTATGGCCGCTAGACTGAAAGATGAATACCAACCGTTTTTGTTGAAGACTCTTTGCCTAATATTGGAAAGAGTAGGTAAGTATTTACACTTCTTATTATAGAACATTCGAAATCTGGTGCCACTTTGGCTTAGGCACAAAAAACATGGTTCTGTCATGCTTATTGACAGGGGGAGTGGGAATTATGGCTGCTAGACTGAAAGAAGAATACCAGCCGTTTTTGTTGAAGACGCTTTGCCTAATATTGGAAAGAGTAGGTAAGTATCTACACTTCTTACTCTAGAACTTTCGAAATCTGGTGCCACTTTAGCTGAGGCACAGGAAAACATGTTCTGTCTGTCATGTTTATTGACAGAAGAAGTGGGGGTTACGGCTGCAAGATTGAAACCAGCCGTTTTTGTTGAAAACGTTTTGTTTAATTTTGGAACAAGTAGGTAAGTATCTACACTTTTTATTCTAGAACTTTTGAAATCTGGTGCCACTTAAGCTGAGGCACAGAAAGACATTGTTCTGTCATAAATATTGACAGACGGAGTAGGGATAATGGCCAGAAGACTAAAAGAGGAATACCAACCGTTTTTGTTGAAGACTCTTTGCCTAATATTGGAAAGAGTAGGTAAGTATCTACAGCTCTTATTCTAGAACATTCGAAATCTACTGCTACTTTAGCTGAGGCTCAAAAAAAGCGTGGTTCTGTCGTACTCATTGACAGAAGGAGTGGGCATTATGGCTGCAAGACTGAAAGAAGAATACCAAACATTTTTGTTCACGACACTTTTTTTTATCTTAGAAAGAGTAGGTTAGTACTATAATAACTCTGAAATATCCCAAAAATTTAAAACTTTTCTTCGAAATATGAAAAACACTGTTGAACCTCCCATACAAAAATGCTGAAAAAGAGTGTCACTTAGTATGGGAGGCCCAAATTTTTTTTTTCATATTTCGAAGAAAAGTTTCTAACAAAAGTTGTTCAGTTTTGTGAGAAGATTACACCCTCAAGAGATTTATACTTAATTTAATGTAACCGTATATATCACGTCTTTGTCCCTTGCGAGGTAGGCAGAGCGTAAACAGCTGTAAAATATGGCCATTTACAATACTTCTGACAAAAGTTTGAGAGTAATTCAGAAGACTGTGTATCACCATAGCGACAGGTCTGCCTGTCGCCTTAACTGCATTAATTTTGAATGTGTATACTTTTATTTACAGGTAGCAAATACGAGATGTTACACTTGGCCGGTCTAAAAGCTATCAACGACATAGCGCTCGCGTGCGGGCATCAGAGCGTCGCAGAGCTCATAAGGGATAATGCAGACTATTTCACCAACCAAGTCACTGTTAGACTCAAAAAGGTAAGTCTTCTTCTTCTTCGAGTGGGACACCAAGTCGTCCAAAGACCCGATGAAGCCTGGTAATGAACTTTAGCAGCTCTGAGAGCGATTAACGATATTGCTCTCGCGTGCGGACATCAGAGTGTCGCTGAGCTCATCCGGGATAATGCAGACTATTTCACCAACCAAGTCACTGTTCGCCTAAAAAAGGTATGAAAATATTCCATATCATCAAATCAGTCTCTAGCATTCAACTGCTGGACATAAACCTCCTCCCGAGGCACGATATTCCGTTCTCGTCAACCAGCGACTATTAAGAGAGGCTGTCCCTCTTCAAGTCATCGATCCGTCTCGCCAGAGGGCGCTCAACGCTACGCTTGCCGATGTGTGGCCTCCACTCGAGAACCTGCTTACTCTACCAATGAACTAGGATTTTTAATGCGTTCACAGTCCTATATTATTCTCGTAACTGAAAAAAAAGGAAAGTTGAAAAATTCATTAGCGTCGGCCGGGACTTGAATTCGGAACCGTGGGGTATCATCTCACTACTCTGCCAACTAAGCTACCGTCGCTTGGCTGACTCTAACGAATCTTTTGAACCTCTTGATGCTCCTTGAAGTGAAGATCTACCGACGTCTAGTAAAAAGTATTGGAACTTTTTAGTCCACCGTTTATCGGTTTTATGGAGTTGATTATTTGAATATTCTTATTTGTATGTTTCAGGAGTGGAATTCTCAATCGGCGTTGCAGATATTGTCAGTAGTGATGGAGTACAGCGATGCCAGCATATTAGATTGCCTGTATGGAATTGTTGAAGATGTAAGTATACGTAGACAAAATAACCATGCGAGCACTACTATAGCTTAGGACGAAAAATCGAAATAATAATACGTTTCAATCAACTAAAGTTGAAAGGTGTTTGACAGAATATTGCAGGATTTTTCGACCTTTTCATAGTACCTTTTCAATTGATTGAAAGAAAATATGTGAAAATTTTGTAATGTCTGCGCCAACCCTAACTATTCGTATGGCAAAAGAAAATATCTAAAGTCTTTCCAAGTATTAATTTGATTATTGACAGTAGGACGCCATATAGAAAACTAAATTGGCATGAAGGGGCAAATATAAACATTGTATTCACCGGACAGCTACCTAAAAGCAAATAAATGCCTGAAAATATCATAAGTATGTATTCATCTTCCAGGTTTTAGTCCAAAGCTGTGACAAATACTACGAAAAGAATCTAGACTCGTACCTACAAGTGTTCCTAACCTTCATACAATGCATACACAAGTGGTTCCCGCCAGAAAATAAAGACCCACCTGATCAAAAACCAAAAGGAGACATAGATATTTTCAAAGACGTTCTAGAGTTTATAAAAAACGAAGAAGAAGCTGAAAGACTAATGAATACGGAGGAATTTGAACAAGAGAGCGGTAAGACTGTAGAAGAGATGTATAAAGAAGATATGAAACAGAGGGAAGAAGATATATTGGATTATGATGATACTGTTACAAGTGAGTGAAGTTTACTTTCTTTTTACATTTTTAGTTTTTTGCAGATTAGAACTGTACCGTGTGATCCCGCAGGATGACCAAATTTCTTTCCCGCGTATGTCGTAAAAGGCGACAAAAAACCTCGACGCTTTGATGTGTTTACCAATTTTAGGCAACGGATTGACAATATGTCACTATACTGATATTCAATATTTCTGAAACGGTCATCAAATATTTCTAAAACGCGAATTTTCCGATTGAGACTGTATATTTTTACTGTCGTTGACTCTCTGCCCGTGATGTGTAATAAAAAACTGCCTAAGAAGCAAATTCAGGAGTTCTTTTGCTCGTAAATAGACGCGGATAGCAATAGACGTTCTATCTATCCACCCCGCAAGAGACAAAAGAGTGATTATGAATAAGTACTTACCCACGACGGAACGGAGACGGTTATGCGTTTGGGGAGACAGAATGTGTGTTTGTTTGTGTGTGCAAATCAATACCAAATAGCAACCAAACCACTAGTCCGATTTTGATGCAGTTTTTAGTGATGGATTTGGATTTTTTGGTGCATGTTCTTAGATAGGTATAACAACTCACCCACCAAAGGGCGCTTTGTGCCAATCAATTTTCCCAATTATCTCCAAAACCACTAGTCCGATTATAATGCGGTTTTCAGTAACGGGTATGATTTTGATTGGTGGATGTTCTTTGATAGGTTTTACGCTTCTAAGTCACCAGGGGGCGCTGCAGGAAACCGTCGTAGGTATTATCAAAATTTAAATTTTGTTTTCACTTGTTTTATTTTCCAGCTGAAAAGCCGCCATTGCCGCAGCACATACGCGTGTCGGTGACCATCATCAAGCGCTGCATCAACTTCGTGACCTCCCCGCGACGGCACGAGAGCCTCTTAGCGTTACAAGTCCTCAATTGTGGGCTACCGATCCTCAAGGAGTACGAGGTTTGTGGAACTGGTTACACCATTATCATCATCTGCTGCCGTTATCCCAAATCAGTTGGGATCAGCGCAATATGTTTTGATAGAGCACAAAATCCTGTAACAAAAGGATTATCACCGCCACCATGCGGTTGACCATAGTCAACAGATATTCAGCCGAGGTCAAAAACTGAACGTCGCTTTTTACGAAACTTTCTAAGTGGACTCGGCAATATCCTTAGCTACCATTGGTTTCACCCATTTGGTTTAATGAGACCCTAAACCTAAAATCTACTGCTTGACAATGGCCTCTATTAGAGGGTACGTGCCTTACTTATTGGCAGATAACTTGTATTTTATTCTTACTGAAACAGCTTACTTTATATTATAAAGTTTATAACATAACGGGCAAAAATATTAAATAAACGATTCCTGAATTATTCATAATCTTTCCAGGATGAGCTACTGCCCCTGGTCCACCAAACATGGAGTCCACTAGTGGCCAAGTTCGAAGCACCAGAACCGGTTATATTGAGAAGAGCACTGGATTTACTAGTCACTATGGCGGAGTTGTCCAAGGATTTTATACGGAGCCGAACTGTCAAGTACGTATGCCTAGAATGAGGGATCAACTTACACTAGTTACCCTTGCAAACGGTACAGATAACTAATATCTACTGAACTCTGGATATCTCTGATGGCCCTGATGGCCAACAAAGCGGTTTCAGCTACCCAGTTTTCCCGTGGGAATGAGGGTTTTCCCGCTTATAAAGTAGTATGATATGTAATTTTAACGTAATTATGTTCAGTTTGTCAGTAATCAGGAATCATCAGGAATCAGGATCAGGAATAGAAAATAAATAGCTCGATATACGTGGAGTATAGGAGCCATTGTTAAAAATCTTCGGAATTCCAACGAATTCACGGAACCATCTTGAGTTGTACAAAGATTCTTCGTATTACTTACTGTAGAGCCGTGAACATATCGTTACCGCGTTTTAAAAGTACACTAGCGACATCTATGGATAAGTTTTTGAACCAGTCTAATCTGTCGCCATCGCCACCCATGGGTTCTGAGGTTTTCAATTAGTCAAGCTTAAACCCCCCTATCCATACAGGATGTAATTAAGTAAACGCTAATATTTTAAAGAGTGAACGAGTCAATGAAACTGAACAACTTTCTCCTAGAAACATACGCCGAAATATGAAATGAAATTAGACTTCCATACAAACTTAAATCAGCTCATCAGCAATTTTGTATGGGAAGGAGAAAACTTTGTTAATGTTCCGAAATTTTGTTTTCATATTATGTTCCTTCAGGAAAGTTGTTCCTTATCACCAACCGATTCTGAGTTTTCGCTATCGGTCACAAGTAAAATATCACCCTATATACATTAAAAGACGGCATAAAGTTTATGAGTGTATTTGCTACTATTTTTTCAGGATTTACTACTATTTTGGGTGGTACGTAGGCAAGCGCAGTGCAAGATTCACAGCGAACGCTATTTACCATTCCTAGAAACCTTCGTAAGTGGTTTTTGGACATTAAGAGAAAGAAAGCGGCCAAGAGCGTGTCGGACACGCTCACAAATAGGGTTTCGTAGTCAACGTTTAAATATCAGGCCTTTCAGCGTTACAAAGTTAATTTTGTTGCTGGTTTGTTTGCAGCTGTATGGTTACCAACCGTAAATTGAAAACCTTTAATATTTCCTTAATTTTAAGTAGTACAGTATTCGTTATAGTTTTCATGGTAACTTCTCCATATTTTTTTCAAATTTTTTACATTCTTACTTTAGAAGTTACAGCTGGAACAAATTATGGCTCAAAATCGCCCCTTTTTAAAGCAAATATCTCGAGACAGAAACATGTTAGACACTTTGTTTCAAAGAAACCTCCATTTAGTTTTAAAAGACCTATTCAACGATACCCTACTCAATATTACAGGAGATAAAAATTTTTTTTTGCCCCCCTTTCACATGTATGGGAAGGGGGTCCAAATAACAATTAAAATATTTTTTTCTCAACATTTCTGAATTTGGGTCAACACGATCTATCTTCACACCAAATTTCAGGTTGATAGCTTCAAAACTGACGAAGTTATGAGGGCGCGGCATACAGACAGACAGACAGACAGACAGACAGACTTGACGAAACTATAAGGGTTTCTAGTAGACTACGAAACCCTAAAAAAGAGTAGTGCTGTTATTCTTACCCCGCACCACCAGAAAAGTCATTCACCTCGAAGTACAAAAACCCTGTTTCTTTTATTTTTCAGAGAAGTCCTCCCCCACATGTACAAATACCTGCAAAAATCTGCTCTGGACAGCTACTTGAAAGACGCTGGGTCGGCCTACCGAAACAGCCACGCTTACAGACTGCAAGAGGCCATTTTGAAAGCGCTACCAAAACTGGCTGCCGATCTGGTTCTGGTTGATGAGAAATTGACAGAGGCCATGGCCTGTGCGAGTTTATACTTGACGAATAAGCAGCCGAAACCTTTGCAGGTTGGTTTATTTTAGCATATTTCTATCTCAGGATACCGTGTGATAGCGGCTAAGAATACTGCCACCCCTAGTCCATTTAGAGTCATATTTCTATCTCAGGATACCGTGTGGTAGCGGCTAAGAATACTCGTACTGCCACCCCTAGTCCACTCAGGGTGTTTAGTAAAAGGCGATGTAGAGTTCTTGACCTCGGCTAAATATTTGTCGACTATGGTCAACCGCGTGTGGTGCTGATACCACCTACAATAGCATTCCCGAAAAGGGTTGGCGTCAGGCAGGTGGACGCTAATAAAACAATGCCAACTCTTGGCTACATGATTTTGTGTTCTAACAAAACATATTGCGCCGACTCGAACTGATTTGGGATAAGGGCAGGAAGGTGATTTTAATCTCAGGATAAATGTCCCCGGTTCTGAAGAGGTGGGACTCAAAGCTACTATTTTTCAATTTAGTACTTGTTGGCTGATATTCGGCCATGTTGACATTTTGCTACTTTGTAATATTAAGACTTTTGACCATTTACAACTTTAAATGATTGCGACTGGCATTTCTCGGCTTCGTTATTTTGCTTTGAGATTTTAGTTTTTTGCGATTATGACATTTGAAGTTGTGACCTCATTGCCATTATAATATAA